AAGCTTCATCTGACATATTTTGGGCATGTTGCAAGAAGGGACTGGTCCTTGGAGAGGGACATCATGTTTGGCAGAGTGGAGGGGAGACGAAGGAGAGGAAGACCTTTGGTGAGATGGATTGATTCTGTGACTGAAGCGGTGGGAATAAGTGCATTTGAGATGGCTAGGTTGGCACAGGATAGAGCAGCATTTAAAGCTCTTGTACATAGGGTCACTATGAGTCGCAAGCGACTCGATGGCACATAACAAAAACAAGGCATTTGACTGTGTGGTGGTGGTTGTTGTTATGTGCTGTCAAGGAGCTGGCCACTCATAGTGACGCTATGTACAACAGCCCTGAAACCTGCTCTATCCTGTGCCAACTTTGCTGTCTCTGACACACTTACCCTCATTACCCCAGGCACTGTATCAATCCATCTCATCAATGGTCTCCCTCTCTTTTTCCTTCCCTCCACCCTTCCAAGCATTATTTCTCTCTCCAAGGACCAATTCCTCCTTGTAACATGCCCAAAGTATGTCAGACAAAGCCTCAGAATCCTTACCTTCAAGGAGCAGCCTGGCTTCACCCTCTCTAGGATGAACCTGTTTGTCCTCCTAGCAGTCCATGGTATATTCAACACTCCAGCACCAAAGCTCAAAGGCATCAATTATCTTTCTATCATTCCTAGTTATAGTCCAGCTCTCTGACGCAATTGTTAAGAATATGGCCTGGATCAGGTGCACCTTAGTCTCCAGACTGATGTCATTGCTCTTCAGTACTCTGGAAAGGTCCCTGGCAGCAGACTTTCCCAGTGCAATTTGTCTCTTGATTTCCTCGCTGCTGGTATCAAGAGTGTTGATTGTGGAGCCAAGCAAACTAAAGCTGTTAACAATCTCAATCTCTTCACCATCTATCATAATACTGCTAATAGGCCCAGTGGTGAGAGTCTTTGTTTTCTTGATGTTAAACTTCAATCCATATTGAAGGCTGCAGTCCTTGACCTTCTGTAACAAGTGCTTTAGGTCCCCCTGAGTTTATATATAACAAATTATGGATAATTTGGCAAAGAATTGGAATCCACAACACTTATCGTGCTCATGCGGAACCTGTACACAGACCAAGAAAGAGTTGTTCTAATAGAACAAGGGGATAGTCTATGATTTAAAATCAGGAAAAGTGTGTGTCATACTTATTCAATGTATATGCTAAGTAAAAAGAGAAATCTGAGAAATTAGATGAAGAGGAATTTTGCATCAGGATTGGAGGAAGATTCATCAACAACCTGCAATATATAGTTAACACAATCTTCCTTAAACAAAGTAACAGTAAACAAAGAAGAATGGAAATATTAACTAATAAATATTGAAGACTATGTAACTTTCAATATAAATTTCAACTTCAACTCTATCAAAAATTAAAAAAAATCTTCCCAATACACAACATCCTAATAAACAGAGAAAGTATTTTACCATGTTGTTGTTGTTGTTATGTGCCATCGAGTCGTTTCCAACTCATAGCGACCCTATGCACAACAGCTCTAAACCCTGCCCTATCCTGCGCCAACTGCACCGCCTCCGACACACCCATCCCTATTACCCCAGTCACCGAATCAATGCATCTCATAGAGGGTCTTCCCCTCCTGCGCTGTCCCTCCACCCTCCCAAGCATGATGTCCCCCTCCAAGGACCCGTCCCTCC